AAAAAAAAAAAAAAAAAAAAAAAAAAAAAAAATGTGTTGTTCTAAAATATTCTCAGACAAAATTATCATACTCACATACCATTTACGAATCGTTTTTGTTTTTAATTATTCGAATGAACTGATTTTATTCTGATGGAACTGAGATTTAGTTAACAAAGAATCTATTACAAGTCTGCTGCAATTCACATAATTTTGCTTTGATTTTTGAAATCTAAAACTAGGCCTTGCTGTTGGAATCGACTCGGGACATTTGTTGGGCCGGCTTTTGTTTCGGTTTATCTATGATGCCATATGCTCTTCTGAGATAATCTTACAATATAGATTACCAAAAAGAAAGAACATCTTCATTCATAGTTCCAACCAAATATTTGACTGGATATCTTCATCATAGACTAGTCTCCATAATTAGATATCTCAAATAGTAGAAAATCTAACCGGTATGAATTGATATTTGATCCTCCACCGTTAGATATGACATGATTTGACGGTAGATAGAAGCACCAAAGGCTCAGCATATATGTTTTTTTTTTCTTTTTAACACCCAGCATATATGTTTTTTTATTCTTTTTAACACCCAGCATATTATGTTATTCATCTTTGTTTATGTATGGTAGAGATGTTTTCAGAGTGTTTCAAAAAAAAAAAGGTAGAGATGTTTTCACTTATGTCAAAATAAATTGTATTTTCGATATCTTTCACAGAGAACTTCTAATTGACCAAAACCAGAAACATAATGTCATCTTCAGACGTCACTAAACAATAGTATAACAACAAGGTTTTGACCATTTAATAATTGGTAGAGTTTATAAATCAACCCAAAAAGATAAGGAGTCCGATTGGGAATTTGGCTTTGAAGACTTTAAAATTAACTAAAGTCTCTAAAGCCAAATGTTTTACCAATCACACTTTTGCTGTCTTAAAATTTCTCAAAGTCCTTAAAGTCACTTAAAGTCTAACTGCTATTTTTTTTTTTCACGTTACCTTATTTTTTTAAAAGCTAAAATTTGAGGCTTTAGGAACTATTTTTCTCTCTCTAAAGCCAAAGCCACAAAAGTCACAGCAAAATATTGTCTAAAGTCATTATTTTTAAAGCCTTCAAAGTAAAAGTCTTTAACAATCACACCCAAGAATTTGAACTTCAGTTGCTGGGCCCACTCGTAAGCAGGACCCTCCAAAAATAGGCGTATGCCACTTAGCATGGAGAACACACGGTATTCTTTAGTAAAAGGCGAAAGAATAGTTCGCTTTGTGTTCACCACATGGCTGCGTGATTTGCAATAACACGAGAAAGCCTCTATTTATAATACAACTCCTACTACTAACTACTCCAAGACCTCCGATGTGGGACTTAACACCAAGACAGCGTCACTATTAAAGAACTCTTAGTGGGCTTTTCTGTGCTTGTTATAAACTTTTGCTACTTAAAACAGAAATTGGGCCTTTAATTTTTCACTCGGCCCAACAGCGCCATAAAATTGAATCGGAAGCGTCATTATTTGCTTTGGGCTCGGCGGGAAAATCGCCGTTAGGGTTTGCTTTAACTCTTCATCTCCTCTCTCTCTGGCGATTGTGGAACCAATCAAGCATGAGGACGAGGACGGTGAAGCGAGAATCGGAAGCAACCGGAGAAGGCAGTGCTAGCAGAGGAGACGCCGGCGAGTCGTCTCGGTTTAGGTCTGTGAAGAGGGAGAAGAATAAGGGAGTAGCTTCCTCCGTTCAAATCGACGAGCCGCCGAGTCAGGAAGAAGGAGAGGAACAGGGAGTATCTGATCGGAGGGTTCTCAGATCTCAGTATCTCGCTCTTATCAACAAAATCAGCGGTACTTACTTACATTAGCTTTCCTCTACTTGCGCTAATTAGGGTTAACTTTTTCGTTTTTTTTTTTTTTGCAGATTCTAAAGATGATTTGACGAATGTTGATTCTGACAAATTCACCAGAATTTTCAATGAATTTGAGAACTTGCACCAGAAAGGTAGCTCTTTTTTATTGTATTAGCAATTGATTCATTGCCAATTATGTGTCTTTTGCTAAAAAGATTGCTTTTTGTTTTGTTTTGTTTGGTTTGGTTGCATTTTTCGTGTGCAGTTCAGAAGCCAAGGGAGCAGATTGCAGATGCAGAGGCGTTTCTGGATATAGCAAACACCATGTTGTCATCGGTCAAGTCTCAGTCTGCTAATGGGGTTTCTCCCGCTGAGTTTGTTAATGCTTTGGTCAATGGGTTTGGTCAGCCTTCTCAAAGGATTGATTCTGATGAAACTGCTGCCCCTGTATCTGTTAAATGGAAGGATCTTGGGCTTGCTGTCTGTTCTACTGTTTTTGTATCTTGTGGTTGTTCCACGATGTGAGTTTTCATACTAGCATTGACTTGCTTTGTTTAAAAGCTTAGCATGTTCTGTTTTGAAATTCTGCCTTTTATCGTTATCAGGTTGGGACCTATGGACACTGAATTGAAGGAAAGGAAAAGGGCAGTCTACAGAAAACGTACAAAGCCTGGTGAAGGCGTTCGTCCGGATGAGGTAATAATTGTTTTTTTTTCTAGACCCCATTTTTGTTTCGGTTTATGACCAATAATGAACTAATATACAGTATAACATGATTGTTCAATGTGTCTTGTAGACTTCACGTATGTAAATTTCCACTCCTCACACGTAGCTATGCTGAGTGCTTTATATCTCCGCCTGATTACTAACGTTTTAGATACTTTTGCATGGTCTGCAATGTTGTATATGTCGTGAGCATTTCTTTTAAATGTGCAGAATTTGGAATCTCTCACCTGTTGATGATTTGCAGGGTTTCCTTGAATTAGGATGTGATGCTTTGTCTGGCACTTGTTAATTGTTATGTAGTTTGGATTTAGATAAGAAACAAAAGAGCTGATATGACTACTTTATTGTAATCACCAGGTAGATGATTCACAATCAGAAGAGAAAACTGATACGGACAAGAACATGGCGATAATGTTTAACATCTTACGCCAGAAGAAGCGTGTGAGGCTTGAGAATTTGGTGCTCAACAGAAGATCATTTGCACAGACTGTTGAGAATTTGTTCGCTCTATCTTTCTTGTCCAAAGATGGACGAGTAGAGATCATTGTTGACAAGAATGGCTCACATTTTGCCTGTTAGATCGCATTTCCATCCTCTTAAAGTCTTTGTTTGGATAATTTCAATTCATTCCATTAACTTCTTGATCTCCTAATCTGTCTTCAGTGCCGAGAAACGCACCTGCTGCGAACCTGGTGGCGTCAGGGGAAGTCACTTACAACCACTTTGTGTTTAGATTTGATTTCAAAGACTGGAAGGTAACTAAATAAACTCTCACTCAGTTATTACTCTCGTTTATTGTAGATCATGTCCTGAAGATATCTTGTATTTGTGGTAACAGATGATGTCTGAAATGGTGCCTATGGGCGAAGAGCTAATGCCACACAGGGAAACTGCGGTCGCTTCATCTTCTTGTCCCCCTGCACCAGGAGATATCCCACAGGATTCTCAGACAACACCGATAAGAAAACTCTCGAGAAACAGAGGTTTGGTTGTACAAGAGGACACTGTTGTAGAAGATTCTCCTGACGTTGAGGGTGATGGAACTCGAAGGAGGTGTAAGCGGAAACTCACTTGAGAAGATGAGTCTCATTGTAGGGAGTATATAGAGTAGTGATTTAAGAAAAACTCATTTTGCTGTTTGATTTTGTGACATTTAACTTAATGTCTTCTTTAGGATTTGTTTTGTTCATCGTAGGTTCTTACCAGTTAAGTGGCTTTCGTTGACTCTCAGAAGGTGTTCCTTCTTTTATTTGATGATTAAGAGAGATATTAATCTAATTAATGTTGAACATCAAACTCAAAACACCAAGTTTGTGAAGCAGAAGGCTACATAATAATACAAATAAAAACCATACTCTAATAAGTCTTTTTAAATGTAAAATCACTAATATGAAAATAGCTATTGAATCCTAACACCAAACAGCATGAACCCTCCTTTGTTCACCTCGGATTTGGTTTCTGTTTTCATTTCTTCTTCAAAAACGTTATGAACCATCGTGTCTACTTCCTTGGGGGTCACGTAGCCCTTGTCAGTAAAGTAATCAACATCAATCATCAAGAAGCTGTTGCTTTGACCATGTAATGTCTTAACATTGGTCGGTACATCACAACGGTAAAAGACGATCACATCTTTCTCCTTGAGACTCTTCTCCTTGACAAAACCATTCCATCCTCTGGTGAAGACAAAGCTCTGGCTACTTCTCCAGTAACAATACCTAAACGTCCATGGTCTCATCGCCCTGTCATAAAACACAACCTCAACATCATCCACAACTCCTCCCATTTCTCCTTCTTCTCTCTCTTTCTGTTGGTCACTTATGAAAGGCAAATGCTTCACCGCATGCTTCTTAGGTATCACAAGCCTGTTGAGCTTCCCAACATCGCTCGGTGTCAGTTCCTTGCTAAAAAGCTGCGTGCAGGAGAATGCTTCTTCTACTCCTCGGCTCTGTTTTGATGCTGCCGCCACGATGTTGTTGTTGGCAAAGGAGACCATCTGAGATCTTCTTATGAGATACTCTCCGAACTTTTGCTGGTAAGAACTGTCTTTGATCATGTTCAGCACAGCTTCCGTTGTGTGGTTAGCTTGAAAGTCCGGTTCATGGGTCGTGATTTCACACCAAGGGAAGTTCCGGTGCGAGTTAGCATCGTAGCCTCGGACTTTGATAGATGCGCTATCGTAAGCAGCAGCGGCTTCAGCAGCGGACTTGAAAGTTCCAAGCCAAATCCTTCTATGCTCTGCGTATATCTGAGCACCCCAGTGACCGTTCGGTTGTTGAACAACACCTTTGTATTTTGTTGTTGGCGCTGTGTTGTTGGACAAGGCACTTCTTGTGGTCGTGTCCATGGGTGTTGCTAGACACAAGACAGAGTTACTCAAGCCTGAAGTCTCGGCCTTGTTCTTGGTTTCATTGAGGCTATCCATCGCTAAAAAGAACACAGAAAAAAAAACAAAACAAATACAAGAGAGACAAGCAACAAGAAAAATATATTTGGAGAGATTTGAGGGAAAAGAATCAGTATTATGGTTCTCTGTTGTATCGTTGATGATTTGTTTGGAGTGTTACAGTTTCCTTTTATGGTTTTTTTCTTTCTAGTTTTTTGACAGAGTAATTAATTACCCGGAAGCTGTTTATGGTATGTTTTCCCTTGTAAATGATATTCTTTTTGTCAGATATATTTTCTTGGTAGAAATTTAATTTTACTTGAGAGTTAAGACAAAACAAGAGTCAAGTTCTTTTTTGGTCTTAATTTAGACAATTAATAGCGAGATTTTTATGATAATGTGCACGCATGTGGTTCTTGTTTTATTTTTTCTTGTTCTTTTTTTTTGAAAAAATATTATTCTCTGGTTCTTGTTAGTAAAAAAAACTATTTTTTTAAAGGAAAAAAAACTGTATCATCCGAAAAATTTAACAGTTAACTTATATTGCTGTGAAATATTGGAAAGTTTAAGAGTTTTTTTTTCAAAAACATTTGATGTCAAACAAACAATTTTGGCAGTTTATTTATTTGCATGCATCAAATAGGACGAGTACTATAACAATTAATTTTTTCTGCTAACCTAAAATCCCCTGGACGCGGCTAATCTCTCGGGTAGCAAGAAGATAATGTTAATTGTTAGCATTAACAATTTCTTATTTCCTTTATTGTTCTTGTTTCTAGTTTTGACAGAGTAATTAATTACACCAGAAGTTGTTAGTGGCAAGTCTCCCTTGTTAATGAGATTTTTTTCTTCTATTTGTCAGATATATCTTTTCGTTAGAAAGGTTATCTTTCCTTGAACAAAGCTGGTGTAAATATTCTGAGTTTTATTTAAAAATATTTATGTCACTTTTTTTTTATCTTAATTTGGACAATTAGTAGCGAAACTTTTGTCACCATGTCATGTGGTTTCTTGTTTCTACTAGGATACATTTAGATAAAAAATATTTAAAAGATATTGTATGAAAAAATAAATTTATATTCTTGATTGAATTAATATATTGGTCTTTAAACATTTTTTTTAAACTTTTTTAGTTAATTACATAATTTGTTTACTGATGAACTGATCTCATTTTTAAAAATGTTTTTAGATCAGAATATCATTTAGCGCAAAGAACCTAACGTTTATGTCAAAACAATTTGGGTCTATTTGGTTACAATGAAACTATGTCAGCTCAGTTTTATATCATGATTTAACAATTTAAAAATTAATTATGGTTATGAGAAATTTATGTTTACGTGCCAGTCCTATCTACCTTGAATATACTTTCTCTTTTTGTGTCTTTTTCATTTTGTTTATTGATCGATATAAATATTGATTTTGAAGTTTATTCTCATTTCATTTGTTTGTTTTCGCTTAAGATTTAGATAATGCTTAAGATTTAAAATAATTAAAAAGATACATACTTAGGTTAAGATCTGCACTTTTTCAGAATACGTATTTTATAATCATTTTAAAAAGAAAAATGACAGATTTTGAAATTAAAATATTAACTTTTCAATATATGTTCAATGCTTAGTAGTTTCAAAAATTTATAATCATTTTAAAAAGAACAAGGACAGATTTTGAAATTAAAATATTAATTTTTCAATATATGTTCAATGCTTAGTAGTTTCAAAAATTTATAATCATTTTAAAAAGAACAATGGCAGATTTTGAAATTAAAATATTAACTTTTCAATATATGTTCAATGCAAATATCAAAATATTAGTATGTATTTTCATACGATGTATAGCTTAATTTAAACGATATGATATATATATATATATATATATATATATTAATATAAAACCTATTAAAATAAAATTATTTCTTCATATGCTCTTATAATAATTGTATCTTAATATAGAAAAAAATTTAAACCTTTATTATAAAAGATTATGTGAGATTTTTAACAGTTTTAGTAATTTATACTCGTTTTGAAAAATTTGAAATACAACATACACAAAAAATCTAAATTTTTATTAATGATTAATGTTGTGTAATTTATTTTAATAATAAAGAAATAAAGAAAATAATAAAAATATACAGATTGTTAGCAAATTTGTATTGTTTAAAAATCACTAATTACCATATATATATATATATATACACATATATATATATATTTTAATTACATTAGGTAATTTCGTAAGTTTTATTTAAGGAAAACCTGCGGAACAATAAATATTTGATATATGCAACCAATTATAGTCTGCGAAATATTATATTGCTAGAGAGTATAATTTTTAGACTATATCTTATTATATAAATCTTGTTTTTTCAAAGTTACTAATTAACAAGATTGTGACACATGAAAATTATATATTTATGATTGTGCCATGTGTTCAACTATTTCATAATTAATATATCTATATATATATTTAGATAATAATCAAAATGAATTTTCTTAAAAATAATTATAAATATTATATAATAGTAATTGTTTTCAATTTTAAAATCCTAAATAAAAGATATTTACAAAAAAATATTTGATTTGCTAAAAAAAAATAATTAGAAATATTATGTAATAGTAATTTTCCATTTTTAAAATCCTAAATAAAAGATATTACAAAACAATATTGTTTAAAAGTAAAAAAAAATTAAAGGGTATTTAATGCTATTTTCCTCTTTACAAATCCTAAACAAAACAATTTTTGTGAAATACTTAACTTATTACTAATTTGCCTTTTCTAAAATCCTAAATAACTTATTGTTTGATAGTAATTTTCCTTTTAAAGTTTTTATATATTGTAAAATAAATCATGATTAACAAAATTTATATAATAAGATAATGAAAACTATTTTTAGAAATAATAGTAATATTAAAATTATTTAATAGCACTTTTGTAATCCATATTTTTAAAAAAAAATTACAAAAAGATAAGTAAAATAATTTAGTTGCTACTAATTTTCCTTTTCCAAGATCTCGAAGAAAAAGCAATTAGATTATTTTTTTTAGTAATTGTCGTTTTCTATAACCTTAAACATAAGAAAATAATAAAAGAGAATTTATTAGTATTTTTTATTTTTTCAAATCTTAAACAAAAAATATTTGTAGAATAATTATTTCAAATATTATTTATGTTCTTTTCTTCTTAAACCGATGATGATTTTTAATATATATATATATATATATATATAAACTAAGACAATAAAAATGAAATTTGAAGATATTAGTTTTAAAAATTGTTTAAAAGAAAAAGAAGAAATTGAAAGTGTTTAATTGTAATTTTAATTTTCACGAATCCTAAACAAATATTTAATATAATAAAAAAATATTTAAAATTATAAATTTTATATATTCTGTAAAAGTAAAAAAAAAATCTTATTTAATTATAGTTTTCCTTTTTGAAAATCTTATACAAATTTTTTTTTTTAAAGTAAATTATTAATTAACAATTGGGTTTTCTAAAATCCAAAAGAAATGATTATTGTAAAAGACTATCATAGTAATTTTCCTTTTATTTTTTTTATATATATGTTAAAATAAAGGGGTTTTTGCAAATTTGACTCAAAACTCATGGTCAAACACAAAACTAACTTCTTCTTTTAACTCATCTTGTTTTTGTCCTATCCACCCCACATCTTCATTTTATTTACGAAAATGCCATTAATTTTGTTTTTTTTTACTTTTTTTCAAAAATGGCCTTTTTACTCTCTCAACCTCATTATCTTCAAGTATTTACAACATTGCAATTGCCATGAATACTCCCAACAACCTTGTACAACCCAACAACCTTGTACAACCCAACAACCTTGTACAACCAAGGTTTGAAGTTTTTAATGCACTTAAAATCGATACTCATACTCTCTTTCTCAATTGTTATGAACTAAAAACAACATCTCCTTCACTTTGTCTCCATATTCATGCCAAAAACCCAAGCTTTTGATAGCAATTTTTTTTATGGTTGATAGAGCCATTTAAGCATACAATTGTTGGTGGGTTACTTTCGTTCGATGTTCTGGGTGGTTGGAGAAGACTCTGTGTGCAAAGGAAGTCATCTCACCTAGTTTAAGGTTTGAAATTGAATTTTTTTCCAGATCTCTTCGCGTAGAAGACTTACCCGTAAGTCTTCTGGATGTAGAAGACTTACGGNCTGGGTGGTTGGAGAAGACTCTGTGTGCAAAGGAAGTCATCTCACCTAGTTTAAGGTTTGAAATTGAATTTTTTTCCAGATCTCTTCGCGTAGAAGACTTACCCGTAAGTCTTCTGGATGTAGAAGACTTACGGATAAGTCTTCTGGTCAAACGGACGACTTACTTCTAAGTCGTCCAGCTTTGTTTGTTAAAAAAAAAACTCCAGATGACTTAATTATAAGTCGTCTAGATAAAACGGTCTACTTTTGCTTTTGACCGAATTGTGTCAGATATTTGAATTTTTCTGGACGACTTAAAATTAAGTCGTCCCAGGGAAAGTTAAAATTTCAATATTTTATTAAATCTAGACGACTTAATTATAAGTCGTCTCAGGTTAGTTTGCAATTCAAAAATAAAACTTAAAATTTTAACTTCTCCAGACGACTTAATTAAAAGTCGACCGCTCAGACAACTTAGATTAAAGTCGTCCAGGATAATCAAAGTCGTTCAGAATATTTTTCGAGTTTTCTGGTCAAACCTTGCTTATTCTGGACGACTTTAACATAAGTCTTCTGATCAGACGAATTCTAATTAAGTCGTCTGGAGAAGTTAAAAATTTACCTTTTATTTTTGAATTGCAAAACTAACCTGAGACGACTTATAAGTAAGTCGTCTAGATTTAATAAAATATTGAAATTTTAACTTTCCCAGGGACGACTTAATTTTAAGTCGTCCAGAAAAAATCAAATATCTGACACAATTCGGTCAAAAGCAAAAGTAGACCGTTTTATCTAGACGACTTATAATTAAGTCGTCTGGAGTTTTTTTTTTAACAAACAAAGCTGGACGACTTAGAAGTAAGTCGTCCCATTTAAATTTC